CTAGGGTTGCCGTTAGTGGAACTTGACGACAACGACTGAGATACCAACCGATCTGGGCGGGGTTGTTGTAGCCGCTACAACAACAACAACAACAAAGAGCATAGCGACGAAAACAAAAAAAATTGTTTTCGTTGCTTTCCAAGCTGATGGTTGCTTCACTATGTTTTTACTTTTCTTGTCTCTTTCTTCCCTATTATCCCAAAATGTCTTGTCGCGTCACTATGTTCTTTGCCTTAAACTCCACAGAGCCATCGAAATGGGTGTGAACACCCCAAGTGTTTGACAATAAGTATAATCATCTTTAACACTCTGTAGTGCTCCTTGTTTAATTTATCGAAATTATTACCTTGAAGTTATCATAATAATGAATTTAAAGCGCGAAATTAAGTATCTCCTACCTCGTTTTTTCTCAGCAGCTCAACAAAACGGTGCTCAACAGCGTATTCTGCAGCTTTTATCTGGTAGATTTCCTGAAGTACATATGTCACTTGCAGTTTTTAAACGACATGTGTGAAATTATACAATTTTCATGATTTTTCAGGCTAATGTCAATGTCGTTGATGTATCTGGGGGCTGTGGAGCGATGTTCGAAGTTTTTGTGGAAGCCAAAGAATTTGAGGGCTTATCAACATTAAAACAACATAAACTTATAACGCAAACGCTGAAGGAGCAAATAAAAGACATGCACGGGGTTCGCATACATACATCTATCCCAAAGCCTAAATAGTTCAATATGCAAATTATCTAATCACCCCTTGAAGGAAATTGATTAGAAGATTATTCATCCCTAGTGGAATTACAATCGTGGGTTTGTATCATGATATCGACAGCGCGTCCCGAATTCGTTGTGAATTTTAAGTCATATTAATTATGATATTAACTCCACCATGCACATAAGTATAAAACATAATTATAAAAATACATTTATTTGGACAAGTCCATGCTTTTAGAAAAACTGATGCTGTTAAATTTCCTTTCGTCTCCACTATCGCAGTAGATTTCAACCATAAGTGTACTCGCAAAAATATATCAATATGCATTTGTAATATATGTACATATCTACATATCGTCGCCTGGGTAATAGATTGTCGTAAGCGCCATTTTGACGATTTTTAGTTCTAGATGCAGTTATAGTTGAAATAAGGTCTTTCGATTGGTGTTATCAGTTTTAGATATTTCCTATAGTTTCCGAGATATTGACTACAACTTTTTCGATAATTTAGTAAAAATTTAGTTGGTGATGTAGTCATATTAAGCTAATTAATATCTTAAAAATGGCATATATTTTTGGATATCTCTTTTAGTTTCCAAGATATTGAGTAAAAAGTGTCGTTAATTTGGTAGAAATTTTGATCACATTGTCGTATTTCATACAAAGTGGCTGCCAAATTGTGGACAAATGACTCTTACGACAAAATTTGACTAAAGAACATCCTTCATAAACTCAAAACTAATTAACAATAAACATTAAAAATTAAATATTTTACAAATTTTGTGTACTAGTAAAACTGTGGACTTTGGAGAAAATCTACCTTCGCGTTTTTGAGAAATTGCATTCCAAACCTCAATCGCGATTTCCCACAACCTGCCGAAATTAACGACAATCTTTTACCCAGGCGACGATATGTAAATATTAACAGATTCCCGAACTTTGATTTTTTGTATCGGTTGAAAGTTAAGGAAACGCAAGACACACGTATTTCGTCATTTAAGCGAGTTCTTTTGTAGCTCGGTTGCAAAAGAATGCACCTAGTGACGAAGACAATGAGAGAATGAATGAATCATTGAAAAAGTGTGAGTATTGCTATTGTCTTGGCAAAATTAATAAACTAATTAAAAAATTGTCTTATGTAAGTATTAGTATTTTCAATGTAGTTTCCTCGTTCAATAAGTAAGTGTGAATAGGTTTTAATCGCTCATGCTTCTAAAAACAAACAGTTGTGGAAGGAAGAGCGACTAAAAACTATTCATAGTCGCTGATTGAACGATAAATCGACATTCATAATACCACGGAAAAGCGGTTATCGAGTAATAGTCGTCGATTATCTACTAACAGTCGACACTCGAACGTGAAGGTTTGTGCGAGCCATGATAAAAACATTTTAAGGTAAGACCGCCGAGAGGCAGCCCGAACATTTTTGAAGTTTGCCAACATAACAAACATGTTTTCATATTTTCAATCTCACGAATACATTCTCACTTTTAGTCGCAAAATGGTCTCAAATGAAAGAAAATTGGAATATTTTCATCTATTTGTTTTTTGTTTTACTTTTATTTGGCATTTGAGATGCTCTGAAAATTTTAACTTTATAAAGTAGAAAAACTTCAAAAAATAAATGATGGCCGACGAATTGAGCGAGCGGTTTTACCTTTAAATATTTGTATCATGGTGCGAGCTATATAAGCTAAAACTGATGAAGTAATAAAGAAGAGACGTCAAAATTATTATCTACAACGCAAATCACTGTCCGATTTACCGTCATGAAAATATTGAACACGGTGTTTGAAACAAATTGGAAATAGGTGTGATTAGTGAAAAAGTGTTCATTACACACAGCTCTTAAGAAATTTGCTACGTTTCCTACTAAGGTTAACATCGTGTCCACATGCAAAAATTATTGCCTACCAACTGTAATTTTTAATGCATGATGTAAATTTTAACAGAGGCAATATTTGTGCGTGGGCCTTTTTTGAGCAATTTGCGGCCTCCTTTGGCGAAATATTGCCTGATAACATTATCACGATAAAAACATTTGACTGTGAAGTCGCCCCGTAAGTTTTACTTCAATCAGCTCAATATAAATAATTATACAGGTCGCCCTGTTCTGTTTCAAAGTGGTTAAGATTCAGCATCGACCACAATCAATGTTATTATTGACGCTTACTGTATATATGTGGTGAAACATATTGCATTTTTGCATTTGTAATTTTAATAAAGAAAAAATATTTTTACAACTCAATAAACAAAGTATTAAGTGCGTCTAATAGTTATATTAAAAAAGTTAATATCGACTCTCTAGTTTGCCATGTAATGAAGTTCAGCATATTTCTATATTTTCGATATTCCTCGTGTTAGCATTTGGTATACAATAGTCAAGTACTTTGTTTAGAACTGACAAGAAAGATTTAATTAACTTCCAACAATAGCAGTGCAATAAGCTTTACAGTCGGTCCATTTGACTGGCCAGTCTCCTTTGAGACTCACGGAAGATAAAGTTTTAAAAAATGCGAGAGTTCAAAGTGGTTGTATTGGGTTCGGGCGGTGTCGGCAAGTCTGCCCTTACTGTTCAATTCGTTTCCGGGTGCTTTATTGAAAAGTACGATCCCACCATTGAAGACTTCTACCGAAAAGAAATAGAGGTAAGAGCAATGTACCTGTTAAGACCTATTTTAATATATTTATTTTACACCATGATACAAAAAATATCTACTTCAATAACATTTGACTTTAAATATAGTCCCGTCAATAAATACATAGATATTCATCGTCAAGGGATATACACAGTTTATTTTGCAAAAAGGATAGCCAATTAATGGCTTATTATTAACCTTATGTGTCGTCCTATTTTTGCGTACATCTTGGAATACATTCAAGGAATTTAAGATAAGACAACCCGTTAATATTATTTCACTTAATACATATCTGAGTTTATTTTGCATATCATTACCTTAATATAGAAAGGCCCTATCTCACATCGTCGCTGAAATACAAAAAGCCGTAACTAAGTAAAAATGCAATATTCCCTTTATGATTGATTATGATGCATTTCAGCGAATTATATATTATATGATGTGGATATTAAGCAATAAACAATTTTTGTCAGTTACGGATTTTTTGTATTTCACCGACTACTTATATGAGATAAGTCCTTTCTATATTTGTTTGTAAGTAATTCGCTTCAGGACAAAGAATAGAGTGGAAAATGGTTAGTTGTTAGTTAGTTGTACTATCATATGATGGTGTGGAGCGGATGGTGAATGGATGGGCACAGTTCAAACTTTAAGAAAAGTCATCCTTCCCCTCTGCAGACCCCAAGGTCCATTTGAAAATGGGGTAAAATTGTCATTTCGACATAGAAAATTAAATCATTGTCAAATAACTAAACCATACCCGAATTGTGTAATTGACTTAAACATTTCGAGACGTAACCGCCAAAAGGACGTAAGCGACAAAAAGTAAATTTTTCAGTAGGCGTTGTTTTCTTATTAACACTGCAAATAATGTAGATACTAACGTGAAGGTTAATGAACAAGTTAAGATTGACGGTAGGTTGTTGTTGTTGTAGCGGCTACAACAACCCCGCCCAGATTGGTTAATGTCTCAGTCGTTGTCGTCAAACTCCACTAACGGAAGCCCTAAGAAGCTTGAAGCCTCGATAGGGTCGGTCCACAGGTACAAGGCGTTAGGGTTGTCGGGTTTTCCGGGCATACGAAGAGATGTTTCGAGTCATGAGGTGTCCCTCCGCATGCCGGACACTCATTTGGCACATCTGCGTTTAATCTGCTCAGGTATGAGTTTAACCTGCTGCAGTAGCAAGAGCGAAGTTGGGCTATTGTGGTTCTAGTCTCTCGAGGCAGATGAAGCTCGGTCTCGTCAATGTCCGGTGGTTGTGTGCCTAGAACGGCATTCACAGGTCGGGAGTCTACATAACTCGAGACTGACTCCCTGTGAATGCCGTGCAGGGCCAGTCGGTATGCTGACGGGTCCAGAGGCTGCTTAATGAACCACGTAAGGCCATGTGTTATCTGAGCGTTTATGGCGTTAAGTGCTGTTGTTGTACTGTGCACTTTACGGAAACCATGCTGATGCTTCACTGGGGTCAGGTGGTTCGTGAAATAGGGGGCAGCAAGGCCTCTAGTGTTTTCGCTACCGCGGAAAGGGGTTTTATGGGTTGATCAGATTCTCCTTTGTTGGCTGGCTTCCCCGGTTTGAGCAGTGAGTGAGGTTCCAGATGTCTGGATGATGAGAGCGGCCATTGACATATTGAGGACCTCCGTTAGGTACGTTACTCCCGCAGGACCCAAATTTTTCAGCATCAACATGCATATTCCGTCAGGACCCATGGCTTTGGAGATTTTTTTTGAACTTCACCGCTAGTGAAAGCAAGGGAGGCACAAGTTTGTGCAGTATGAACTGCCCGCTTTTTCCGCTTATATACGTTCACAAGCTGCCGAATCTCCGCGTTGAGATCCCTGATAAGGGGATTTCCGGGATCGGCCTGACGAAGGTTGTCACGCTCATGGGCTAGACCACCCGCTTCAGCAGGGAAGTTTGGACGGGGGTCCCTGCTACATCCTGCCGGTACGAAGCGAGCTGCAGCAGCAGTGACAACCCTGCGGAGGCAAAGTCGGTTGGTTTATTGATCGAGATGACTATGGGCAGATGGTCTGATGCCAAAGTCAGCATAAGTCGCCATGATACGCGTTTATCAGACTCTCGCGGACGATTGTTAAGTCTGCAGCAGTCGGCTGCCTGGTGGGTGCGTCGTCGTTCATTGTGCAGAATGTCGAATCGTCTATCTGTTCAGCCAAGTCTGTTCTCCTACGATCGTTTGACATGCTTGGATTCCAAAGATCGTAGTGCGCATTAAAGTCACCTACTACCATACGGTTCTCACCTCTGAGGAGCGCACCCCAAAAAAATGGTCTTCTCCCATGGTGCAAAATATGTTGGATGTTATACTCAACCCTGTAAAAGTGCATGTGTTGCGTACTTATCCTTGTCAGGCTCACGAATATCATAATATTGTCGTTTTCAGCAACCTTCTGCTTTTCAGGGCAACCATCTCCCCTGACAAAGCATCAAAGGGCAGAGGATGAATCTTTTTTTCCTTATTGGAGTGCAACATTTTAAAAATCGAACACAGAATTTTTCTCTTTAACTAACTCTTCAGAAGAATCGGTGTTGCTGTATGGGACAAGTGCAACTTTAGTTAAGCTGTGCAACAACACAAGTATTTTAACACGATATACTCGTACATTTATTATATTTTTATCCTTTTGATTAAAAATCTTAATCTAACACAAATATATGTATTTCCCTTTGTTTGCAAATAATCGGTATTTGGAAGAAAAACAGAGGCTTTTCAAAACTTTCACACAAAAGTGTAACAATTCCCTCTACAATGAAAAATTGTTCCGGAGAAAACGGCTTAACCGACACTGCGGGCCCAAAAAAAATTTAAACAGTGTCCAATTAGGCACTTGAGCCAAAGTTCTTTCGCTATAACTTTGTAATGGTAATTCGTAGGACTTTGAAATTTTGTCAGCTGGTGCGTATGGCGGTAGGTAATCCATTTCTGTCAAAAACAGACTTGCTGTTTGTTACTTGTTTTGGCCAATATGACAGTTATTAGCCAGATATAACTTGTGACCGACGGACCTCATAAAATATCAATTTCATACTGAAGTGTTGCAGTTTCAGCTAATGGCGTTTTCTTTTCTCGAAAAAAATTTTACCTTATGTGGCAACATTATCAGCATTTTAAAGACCAAGCACGCAATATGCATGTAAAGACGCTCAGAAAAGAACACGACAACTTGACAGCCTTGGTGCAGGGCAGAATACTTATTATTATTTTGGGAAAAGAAAACGTTATAAGATTGGTAATAAGCAACATTCAGTATTTGTCATATCAATAGCACCCCTATTTCTAAGTGATATTGTTTACCACTTGTGTTTAATAGTTTATATTTAAGCATATTCAATTAAAATACAGTTTTTCTCTAAACAAAAGCCCAGATATTCCCAAATTTAAAACTCTATAAAAAACTAAAATACAATTCAACAAATTTTCATCCATCATTTGAGTACACAGTTTTATAGCCCATTAAATTTTAGTCTCATAATATCCAAGTTTCAAGTGGCTAAAAATTACCGTTAATTTTTTAGATTTTTTTTGCAGAAGGTATTCCGGTTTTTTCCATATGAAAATAAACTGTGTTTATTCGTTATATGGAAGCAAATGCGACAAAAATATCTAAAATAAATCAACCGCCACCTGAAACCTGCACATTATCAAACTAAAATTGAATGGGCTATAAAACTATACTCAGAAAAATCGGACATTTCTGAGGAAAAAGTTTGAAATTTAAGTGAAAATATTTTCCATTTTCCTGTAGTATTTTACTAAGTTTTGAACTTGGGTTTATATGGGTTTTGTTAGATAATGTAGACTTTCAAAATAAATTGTCATTTAATAAAAGTGTATACATTTTATTCTCATTTAGGTGGATAATTCCCCTTGCGTTCTGGAAATTTTAGATACCGCTGGCACAGAACAGTTTGCATCAATGAGGGACTTATATATTAAGAATGGACATGGTTTTATTGTAATGTATTCTTTGACAAACCATCAAACTTTTCAGGTAAACTATCCTCAAGAATTTAAAATTCTTACAAATTATTCTGCATAAATAAAATTCATAATCAATAAATCTTTCAGGATATATCAAGCATGAAAAATGTTATAACAAGAGTTAAGGGAAGTCAACCGGCTCCAATTTTACTAGTCGCAAATAAAATTGATTTAGATTGCCAAAGAGAAGTTTCTACCGAAGAAGGTATCTATGTCTATATCTGCATAAACATCTTATTTCATACCTCGATTTTTAGGGAACGCTCTTGCACGACAATGGGACTGTCCGTTTATTGAAGCATCAGCTAAAGATAGAATAAATGTGAATGAAGTATTTGCAACCATAGTACGCGAAATGAATATGACACAGGAAAAACGCCAGAAAAAGAGTTACTGTTGTTGTACACTTTTATAGAAATATTAAAAATCGTATTAATATAAAATTAGCTCAAAAGTGTACGAGTAATTTGTATTATTTCAGTTCAATATTTTTTCTGCTCTAAACTACATTTTTTTTCCAAGGCCATGCAAATATACGTATGTATATAAATGTTATTTGTATATCTTTAACGAAAGACTGGAAATTCTTTAAATTAATAATATAAACCATTTCCGTCAGTCATTAAGAGGTTCGAAAAAGTGAATTCGTATAATATATTTCTAAATTCGAAAACGAATAATAAAATTTATAAATGTAAGGGAAATGTAAATCAATTAAAGACAAAATTAACTTCCAACAAATTTAACTTTGTGAATGTTAATATGTAATTATATGTATATTCTGTGAAGAAACAACAAAACCAACAAAGAATTGATACTTCAATCCGAATTCATTACCAGATTCAGTCGTGGCAAAATAGTAGGGACCCAACATTTTTTTCAAATTTTGCCTATTTTTCTCATTATCTAACAAAAACCATATAAATTCATATTTCAAACTTTGTGAAAAAATTATAAAAACTTGTATCGCCCTGTTGTCGAAATTCTCCATATTTTTTCACATACATTTGAATTTTGTTTGTCTCAAATATTAACTCCTGTATGCGAATGACTATTTTGGAGTCCACAACAACAACAACAACAACAACATAGCAAGAAAACCTAGAACCAAATTTCTTCAGTGATTTCGAAATTAGACAGAGAGAGGAACCTAAATTTTAATTTATAAAAAATATGCATACGTATTTATATATATAGATGAGATGCCTAACGGTTCCTCACTGACCAATATGTTAAGCGTATGTGCTTCAGACTGTAAATACGTTTTTCGATTATATTAGTCTGAGATCCTCTTGGAAGGTTAAAAACTAAATTGCCAACATCCACATAAACTCCTCTTTCTTTTAATCAGAATCGGTAAAGATTAAGAAAGGTGAAGATGTACAAAAAATAGAATACATCCTTCTCTAACGGCGCTTTTAGACGGGTTTGGTCCTAAAGATTGTAGATAGCATAAATAGCTGTGCCAATTTTCAGGACGTAGGCAAAAGCGGTTCCAGAGATGAGCGATATGAGAATTTCAGTTTGTATGGGTGGTGCCACACCCCCTTTTTCAATACCAACCATTTTTCGCCGTAAGTAGGTTATATACAATTTAATGAACTCTTGCCAAGTTTCAGTCCCCCAGCGTAATTGGTTTGGTCACATCTGCATCTAGTCTGCTCAGGTATGAGTTCAACCTGCTGCAGTAGCCAGCGCGAAGTTGCGCTATTGTGGCTCGGGTCTCCGGAGGTAGTTATATCCTTTAAATCGGTGTTTGGTTCATTGAAATCGAGCGAACTGTGCCCTCAAAAATGGGAGTTCAAAATTTTCTATATCGCTAGCTTAGAGTGAAAAGTTGCTTAGTCCACTTTTTACGAAAACTCATATTTTGATTTAGGAGGCTAGAGAAATTAAAAATGCATTATTTGGAAAAGGATGAAGGTACTTGTTTTATTTTTTCCCGTTTATATTCAATGAAAGGAAAATTTGCTAAGTCCAAAAGAAGCACTGAAAGTCCGATAGTGCCAAAATAGTACGAAATCTCTTAATAAAGATGAAGCAAATTCCTTTGATTCATATATGGCGTTTTGCTTTGCTCTAAGAAACCAAAATGTATTCAAAGTTTTGCGAAATACTTGAAGAAAATTGCTATAAGCTTTTTTCCTCCAGAAAAATTTTCAAAATGGGACTTAGCAACTTTTCACTCTAAGTTAGCGATATAGTTTCTGCAAAATTGCATCTAAATTTTAAATTTTCATATTTCAAACTTTGTGCAAAAAATATAAAAGTTCTGCAAAATTGCATATAAATTTTTAACTTTTCAATCAGATTTTTTGGAATACTCTTGAGTTTTAGCCAATTAAATTTTAGTAGAATGAAGTGCAAGTTTCTAAGTTGCTAAAAATCGCTTTGATTTTAGCTCTTTTTTTTTAGCGCATTTTTTCCATACAAAGTATGGACAATTTTTTTGTGTATGGCAAAAAGTGCGTAATACATTCAAAATGAAAATTATCAAAAATCAATTTTTTGGAAAATTCAAGCATGCAGGGCTTTAAAGCCCTTATATCTAAACCTTACAGGTTTGCTTTTCTCGCTTGCTCTTTTGTTGCAAAGTTGAAAATTTAGATGCAATTTTGCAGAATTCTTATAATTTTTGTACGAAGTTTGAAATATGAATTTATATCGTTTTTGTTATATTATGAGCCGTACTTTTATAAATAAATAATAAATATTATATAAACAAAAGAAAAATAGGGAAAATTAGTTAAAATGTCGTGTCCCTATTTATTTTTCCACCACTGTACATATGTGTGTATAAAGGTGTATTAGCATGGCGGTAAAGCAATGATCATAGTCCCACGACAGTCGTAATCGAAACGACCTAGATTCTTAGTCGGCCAAGGACTGTCACTACAGCATCATTCCCCAAAAACTCTTTGGGAAATTTGTATGCTGTTACAACAACAACATCATAGTCAGCGACATTAGTTACACGGAATTTGTAAGTATATATTCAAAAATTGTATACCCACACATTTCATTTATGAATCAAAATTTTTACTTCTCGTTAACATAAAGGGAAATTTAAACCCATAGTTTAAATTAAAATGCAAAAACTCAATTGAAATTATTAATATTATATTTCCACAGCTTTAATTATCGATAAACCCCTCATACAAAAATCCGTTGATTAAACGGTGATATGCTGCAATAAGTACAATTTTAATTTTTCTTTTATTGTAAATTAACTTCTTCAAATAAGGTTCAATCTTGATTATAGGTATTAAAGGGTAAACAATTTTCCACGAAAAAAATGTTTCGCTAAATTTTACCAGCCAAAAATTATGCTTCGAAAATAATTAATACATTAGGGATATTCTCGAAGTCTTTCACCATGCACGGATTGCACGAAATGCTAAAATACTATTCCAAATTTGGAAGAGTACGAGAGCACCCCGTTGCAAAGTGGTAGCAAGCAGCGAAATTCTGTATCAAATACAAAAACAAGATACAGCAAAAAAGATGAAGTGAGCGAGATAAGAGAAATGAGAGAAATATGTAGCAATTCCGAGAACAGCGAATAATAATAACTGCAGATCATTTCTTCAGGAATATATAGCCACATAGCTTCATATTAAACTAATTTGAAATTTGAGTAATGTTCTGCACACCATCAAAATACTTTTCCAATGATATACAATTATTTTTCCTTAGAATTATAGTTTAGCCCCAAAAGGGGTGTAAAGAAAACATGTTTGCCTATTTATATATAGTCGGGTCTGCGTAACGAGACGACCCAGATTAATAGCAAGGACTATCACTCCAAAAACTCTTTGGAGAATTTATACGTTGCTCGAGATGACGGCCTGCCAGCAGAGTTATTCAAGTACGGCGGCGAGGAGCTGATGAGGTGCATGCATCAGCTCGTATGCAGAATATGGGCGGATGAACGCATGCCCGACGACTGGAATTTAAGTGTGCTCTGCCCAATCCACAAGAAAGGCGACCCCGCTATACGCGCCAACTACCGCGGAATCAGCCTTCTAAGCATAGGTTATAAGGTCTTATCGAGTGTATTGTGCGAAAGACTGAAGCCCACCGTCAACAAGCTGATTGCACCTTATCAGTGCAGTGGAGAATCCACCATAGATCAGGTATTCACAATACGCCAAATCTTGGAAAAGACCCGCGAGAATAGGATCGACACACACCATATATTTGTCGATTTCAAAGCCGCTTTCGACAGCACGAAGAGAAGTTGCCTTTATGCCGCGATGTCTGAATTTGTTATCCCCGCGAAACTGATACGGCTGTGTAAAATGACGTTGAGCAATACCACCAGCTCCGTCAGAATAGGGAAGGACCTCTCCGAGCCGTTTGATACCAAACGAGGTTTTAGACAAGGGGACTCCCTTTCGTGTGATTTCTTTAATCTGATGTTGGAGAAGATAATAAGAGCCGCAGAACTGAACCGCTCAGGCACAATAGAGCGTACAATTGCTAGCGTATGCCGACGACATCGATATTATCGGTAAAAACAAGGGCTACGTCTGTTCTGCCTTCTCGGGATTGGATAGGGAAGCAAAGCGAATGGGTCTGGTGGTGAACGAGGACAAAACGAAGTATCTCCTGCCATCACACAAACAGTCGGAGCATACGCGTCTTGGCACCCACGTCACTGTTGACAGTTACAAGTTTGAAAAAGTAGACGACTTCGTTTATTTGGGAACCAGGATTAACACCAATAATAATGTCAGCCTTGAAATCCAACGAAGAATCACTCTTGCCAACAAGTGCTACTTTGGGCTAAGTTGGCAATTGAGAAGTAAAGTCCTCTCTCGTCGTACAAAGATCACACTCTATAAGTCACTCATCATGCCTGTGCTGGTGTATGGCGCGGAGGCATGGACAATGAAAGCATCTGATGAGGCGGCTCTTGGAGTTTTCGAGAGCAAGATTCTGCGAAAGATTTACGGACCTTTACGCGTTGGTGGCGAATATTGCAGCGAATTAAAAATCAGCGGCTCCGCTAGCTTGGCCATGTCGTTCGAATGGACAGAAACGCTCCTGCTGTAAAATATATTCAACGCGGGCCGCGATGCTGGTAACAGAGGAAAAGGAAGGCCTCCTCTGCGTTGGAAAGACCAGGTGGAGAAGGACTTGGCTTCACTTGGCATTTCCAATTGGCGTCAGCAAGCACAGAAGAGAAATGACTGGCGTGCTGTTTTGGACTCGGCCAAAATCGCTTAGGCGGTTACAGCGCCAATAAAGAAGAAGAAGAAACAGTCCATGTAGTTAATATTTAAGGTAATCCTTTAGCCACAAAGACTCAAGACTCATATATCTACGTTTCCCCTGAAAAGCGGCTAAACACCCGTTTGGGAGCGAGCTATAGTGAGAAGGCGAAAAACCTCGCGTGGGCTGGGTTTGGGCCGCGCCACGTTAAAACCTCTATAAATGGAAACTACAGAAATGCCTCTGATGAAGAAGAAATCAAGGAAAGCTCAACGTCGAAAACCAGCAAACTAATTTATTTGCCACTCGCCTCTCACAGCTGGTGCGATGAGGAATGATACAAAGCGACAAACAAAAGATGCCGCCTACAGGGTGTGGAAGAGGTAAGCGAGAAATAGCGAAAAGAGCTTTAAATGCTGGCTGACAGGAAAAACGCACGAAAATTTTACCAGAAAGTTAGTACTATTCAAGTACGGCGGCATGCTTCAACTCTATGCGGAATATCGTCAGATGAACGCATGCCC